AAAAAAAAAAAAAAAAGTTTGGGAAAACAAAGAGGAAATTTACAACTTATTTTGTTGTGCCGTCAGGCTTTCATAGCTTACCTTTTGCTCCACCTCAGCTAGATCCATGAAGTATATCACCACTTTGATGTGGCCATTCAACGAAGCTACACATATTGGTGAATACTGAATAAAACAAATTTTATGAATATGTTGCGCTGATAGAGTTGGGAGTAATAAACGCTAAACAAGAACTTTTGAAGTTGTCTAGCCCTCATCGTTCAAATTTTTTCTGACATTGTTTCAGTTTTGGACGATTGGGTCTTAAACACTAAGGCAGTCCCTAACCGAGAAACTGTAGTACTTTTCCCTCAGTGAAATCAAAAAAATTTCACTTGAAATAAGAAGTTGTTGTATCAAAAAATTGTTTTTGAAGACACTACTTTTTGAATTCTTGTGACCTATATTGCCATTCGTTCTTTCCTCTTATTAATTTTGCTTAGTCGGTAATAAGTCAGCATGAGTTACAAACCAATAACCACACGAGCTACAACCTATCATTAAATTACCCCCATCAAGAAAGATAACATAGTTTTATTTCTCTGTTTACCTGTCAATCACAGCAGTTTATCTTACAAATAGCTTCTAAAAGTTATGTGACATAAAGTTAAAACCTGCCTTGTCAAAAAGGAAATTGCAACTTATATTACTTCACCTTAGAGGAGAAACGCCAAAAAATTTGACAACATTACCTCAATATTCTTTGACGTCTCGACCACGTTTGCTTAGTACAAGACGGTATTTTTTTACAAATCCTTTTATACAGAAAATGATCTTTTAGGTACCTTTACTTCAGTCAGAAAACGCTAGATAGCCTAAAGCTTCTTAGCCTTTCACAATTTTACGTAACTTCTACCATTTAAAATCGTCTATAACATTTTATTGAGCAACGGATTGGCAGGACATCAAGCTAGCAAAAACTTTTAAAATTTTTCAGATGTTAATTTTAGAAGTAACGATGGCAAAATAGAACACGGTTTAGAAGATTCCAGTTAGGCAAAAAGTATAAAACATACGATTTCTCATAAGTCAGGAAAATAAATGTACTGCATAACGAGAACTGAGCTCAAAAGCATCAGTCTTGCAAAGTTACTTCAGTTTACTGAAAGCCGCATTGCAACAACAGCATTCTACTACTTTCCTCCCCCACCCAGTAAACTGCAAGCAACGACAAATTTTTACCCAAGTAAGTGCCGGTGCACTTACAAACCATATTACATAAAACAGTAGTGGAAAACTAATTTTGCTAAAAAATTTGAAACATCTACCCTACAAAAGTGAAAAACCTGCGAAACAAGCACATTGAAGCGGAAGTGCTTTTATAAGCAGAAAAATAAGTGATAAATTGATTGAAATTTTGCGAGTTAGCTTGAAAACTAAAAAAATAATAAAAAATTAGTTTTTTTTCAGTTTCTAGTTGAGAAAATTAATTTCAGTACATCGCTGAAAATGTGCAGGACTCTTTGAAGTTTAAACCTTGAAAAAAGAACCGTAAAAAGGTAAAGCAGTAGATCATTTTTACAATCTGTTACCCCCTTTTCGTTCTCCGCATTGACGTCAGCTCTCTCTTTCACGAGGTATTCGACTATGTCCAGGTATCCATAAGAAGATGCAATGTTCAACAGTGTAGCCTTAGCCTGTTGGAAATTGCTTGTAAAAGTACTTTAACCAAAAAAATTTTATGACCTTTACTTTATTCTTTTCATCATTAAGGTAGAACTAAATACGCTTTCAACAATTATACTGTCATATTTTACTCTCTTGTCTCTCAAACTCTAAAAATTTGTCATGAACAATGTTTTCCTTTCCTTCTTTTTCATATGCATCTCTCTTGAAGAGAGGCAACATAGATAAGCCTGCTAAAAGATGACAAAAAAAAAAAAACAGAATACAAATAACAAATTAAAAAAAATAATTTTAACATAAAAAGAAAGGAGGTAATGCTCTGATGTTTTATACTACATCAAAGATTTATTTAAGTAAGAAATGCAAAAAAACTTTTTCTAGGTGGTGGCTCACTTTTGAATTACTTTACTAAATCTGATAATTTTGTACAAATATAAACCGCTTTCCTCTATAAGACGCTTTAATGGCTTACCTTCTCCATCGCTTCTGGAACAACATCTTGTGTATCCTTAATTGCAAACCTCACCACTTCAAGATTATCGTTTCTGCAAGCCTCGCATGCAGTTTTATACCGATGACTCTAAAGAAAAGAATTGAGTAAAAAATCAGTTACATTACACTATTAAAATTTTTAAGATCTGCAACAAAAGTGCTAAAAATAAAGATTTGCAACTCATTTATGCCTTTTTCAGTGCGCCAGTGTAGCAGCTATTAGTTTCCCTCCTGTTAAAAATTAACATTTCTTATTACAAAATCATTCACGTTCAGAATCAAGAAGGTCTGCGACGCGGATGCACAAATAAGTGAAAACTAAGAGGAACATTTTTTGCCTTACATTCTTTACAAAGAAGTAGCGAAATAAGACCGAAAAATCATGCTGAAGCTCCAAAGTGAAATGAAATAATTTAAGCCAGAAAACTAGCCTAAGGTTTTAGAAAACAAACCACTTGCAAGTTTATCGCTCACTCTGGTCAGTAATCTACAGCGTTTCACTCAGATCTACTATACTTAGATACACCATAATAATTAAAAAAAAATCTTTCAAGCACAAAAAATTTAAAGACGTTGCAGTAAGTGTCTACATAAATTTTAAACGTTGTTTCTACTTTATTTGACTTGCTGTGTCGACGATAATATCTTTCAGACTATACTAAGAATAGCTGTAAAACTCTAATCGTGCCGTGGTGATTGTTTCAATTTTCATTTTAAAATTTAAAATCTTATCTTTCTTCTCAAGCTCCAAATCCTTTCAGCACCAAATTTTTGGTAAATATCTCCTGCAACTATCGTAAAGCAGCATGAGTAGGTAGCTGCCTACCTTACAGACGCTTTGACGACGTTAGAGAAAGGAATAAAAAGTAATAACTCCTCTTATTGACAAGTATTTTCTTGACTTCTAATTCTATACTTTTCTCTCATTTAATCCGGCTTTATTTATATGGTTCATATGTAATAACCACTTTACTTTAGAAAACCTTTTATGCTGAGTAAACGGGTTAAAGCCTTGAAAATATGAAAAATTAGGATTTTAGCACCGAATTTTACACAGAGTAAACGATTGTTTCAGGGCAGAAACAATTCTTATTAGCTATGCAAATGTCCTTGTCGCCATTACAAATCCTCCCTTTTTTGACTTAAGAGAAGAACTTAGAAGAACGTATTGGTGCAGCTATGCAATGAAAATTCTGTACATAGACATTGTTTAAAAAGATGAAATACTACATGCTATGAATTTAATACGTTTAGGCCGAAGCTACTGCATTTTGAGAATAATATAGAATCAAGTTAGAAGATTAACGCAGTTTAACAACAAGCTGCTATAAATAGACGACTGTTCTGAATATTTTTTTTTAAATAAAAATTTATTTTTTTTTTCTGGTAAACCACGTCAACTTTATTCTGAAATGAACACTCAAAAGCTGTAAAAGCTTTTGTAAACCTTGCACTACGCAAAGGGTTTTGTGATAAACCACGTGAACTCTCTTCTGTGCTAACACTGCTTTCTTTTAAGAACTGAGTGATAAAAATTCTTCTAAAAAATAAAATGAAACATTTTTACATTGACCTGCAAAAAAAATGAGAAAATGATGGAAAGCGTTGAAAAGCTATCGGTATGCGTAATTCTATGCTCATTTACTGAAGACATAAAATTAAAACTTTTTTGATCTCAGCACAATGTGTTTTCCAAATCATCCTTGACGATTTTATGTACAAAAAGATTGACAAGCGATAACATTTTACGACATAAAAAAAACATGATTTGAAAATGTAAAAAAAATTCTATTTTTGATCCTGGCACAGAATTTTACAAAATAAGAATTATGAAAGTATTTTTCAACTGAAATAATAGTTCACAAATTCATACTAGAAGAAATAAAGTGAGGAAAAAGACATTTTGTAAGAGAATTGTGTTAATAGGTTCACCAAAAAAAGTTACGGCAGAAAGCTTTTGACAAGCCAAGTAGACAAGTGAATCTCTTTGTGAAGCAAAAACCGTATCTGTTAATAACGTTAACACATTTTCGTATAAAAATAAACTCCATGTAACTTCAGCTGATCGACAGTTTGTCACCTCAAATAACGACTGTTATATTGACTGTTGAAACATTGCAAAATTAGAACTAGAATATTTGCCACAAAAAAAAAAAGAAAAAAAAAGCAGAGAAATCTTAGTCTCGGTAACTCAAAAAGTTTTTTGGAATAACTGAATGTTAATAAAACCTTTTAAATGGAGAATGCTTGTGAATTCAAAAGAAGAATATACTA